TCATTTGATGGCGAAGCGGATTGCATTCGGGCAGATTGTGATTGTTTGTGTAGGTACAGTTATTCATGGGGCAGAAACTGGAGTTGTGATGCACCCTATTCATGTGGCATCGAGTACTGCTCTTGGAGCCTTTGCATCTGTTTTGGCGATGATGGTTCCTTATCCCAACCTAGCTTACTATGAGGTAAATCACCATGAATGATAGCTTTAATTCTTGAATTATTTAAATTTCTTTCAGATTCTTTTGGTTGAATTTCGTGCATAATATTGTTTGAGTCTTAGTATGAGTAACCGACAATATTACATCACCAGACTAGCTATAGAATCTTTTAATGACTAAATAAGCCAAGAAAATTGGAAATGAAACTTGTTGCTACATTGAATTTGATGCTATATAGGTCTTTCGAGATTGTTTTTTCATAATTTTTAATAAACTTGGATATGTTTGATGAGATTAGCATAATTCTCGAGGCTCCATAATAGTTTTTGAAAAGTATCTGGCTCCGTTTGATTCACTCTTCCAGAATAGTATTTTACGTAGTTAAATAGTAAAATTGGTTTATTCTCAACATATTATTCTATATTATTGAATTTCTTTTAAACCCCCCTAAATTTGTTAATTTAACTAAACACCTCCAAATTATTTTTTTTAGAAATTGCAAAAACACCCCAGCAACCCACATTTACCAGATTCTAACCACCATTGCTGGAAGCTGGCCAGAATTTAGTATAATGGCGCACTACCGGCTAAATCTGGTGCGCCGATCTAGCATTTTCCAGTCAGATCTACTGCCAAAGATCTAGCCGTCTGGCCGTCAACGGCCAGATCTTTGGCTGTAGCCAATCGCCAACGATGGTCGTATCTTTGGCTGTCGTTGACGACCAAATACGGCTAGATCTAGCCGTCAATGGCCAGAAAAGGTCATATCGGTGCACGACAGGCAAGATCCACCTGGTCATGCGCTGATACGGCGACTCCGACCACTCTCCGGCAGTGGTGGCCGGTTGTCCATATTTAATGGGTGGGTTAGGGGTGTTTTTGTTAACTTTTAATATTTTATTATAGGGGTGTTTAGTAAATAAACAAACATAAAGGGTATTTTTGTTAATTTCTAAATCCTACATCGTAATACCCACCCAATTTAACTTTTTTCAAAATATTATTCTAAAAAGTATAGAATAATGAACCAAACGGACCCTCTATTTTGCATGTTATATATATCTTACCTTTTTTTATAAAGTAAACGACTTTTTCCCACCCAAGGTTTGCCTTAATGACACTTTCTCACAAAAAAAAATTAAAAATACCATTTTCCCACCTAAAGTTTATATTCCGTTAAGACTCAAAATACATATCACTTTCTGAGCCGGCGTTCGACAAATTACCAGGAGTCAAGGCAAGAGAGGTTTTGTAAAGTGGAGATCGGTGGATCAAATAGTAGTGAACGATTGAATATTCGTCACCAGAGTCAACTGGAAAAAAAAATGATATTTTGAAACTTTTTGGACGAGAAAGGTCATTAAGGCAAACCTTGGGTGGGAAAAAGTCGTTTACTCACTTTTTTTTTTTTTTTTTTTTTTTTTAATTTTTTATTTATAAGAGAAAGTTTGTCGTACACGAGCATAATATATACCATAAGTTGATGTAGATCGATTAGAAGTCATTATATTGCTAACCCTTATCAACGTGCTACCATATCACATTTCACACTGATGAGCATGAAAAGTAATGCATTCAAATTAACATTTGGTATATATACCAAACAGGCATCTTTTAATAGGTCACCACTAAAATTGATTCTAGGAAAAATCTTTTCTCTTTATTGAACTATGCCAATCAAAAAACCTTTATCCAAATAGGTAAAATCTGAATAAAGTAATGTTACATGTACAAACAATTATTACAAAAATTTATGTACAAACTAATATGGTAGAAAATGAATAGAAAAGTGAGAACAAAAAATCAAACTCATCATATTAACTCTTTCATTCATTTTCTGTCACATCAATTAATAATGTGACAAGTAATATGACAAGAGTACTAGATTAGGTATTGATATGGAAGAAGAATAAGAGGAGATAACATGTTTTTGAATAAATACCATGTTGAGTATATATAGTTGGATCAATTCCATTTGTGCAAGTAAAATGCTACTATTCTTGAGCTTTAGGATTGTTGGAGGACACGAAGAATAAATCTGAATCGTAAACCCAGTATCTAATATTAATTCTCAAAAATGCCTTTAGCATCCACTTTCTGGCCCACTCCCAATATGCTTCCTTCAATAGGATGTATTAAACCTGTAATTCTGATTCATTAAATGTTTTTATGAATGTCAATTTAAGTAACTTAAAAGTGTTATTGTGCAGATTAAGAAAACATGCAGATTATATGCTGAAAATGCCTCAGAGAGGTTGAATCTCTTGGTCAAGGCGTTCTGTGCAAACGATAACACAGCGGCATTCGACTTCATTTTAGAAGCCAAATCTCTCTTCATTGCAGGGGCCAAACTGCTTTTGAGTATCAAACAAAAACAGGTTAGTGGAAATGAACTCTCAATTTAAAGGCATTTCCTCTTCAAATTTACATGGTAAAATTAGCTAAAAGAATTATTTTCCTTGATTTTCACAGGATGCCATGTTGTGGGAGAGACCTCAATTCAGGTTCTTCAAACCCGACTGCTTAAGCCCAAGTGAAAAATTGCAAGAACTGGAAATATCAATTAGAGGAATGGAACTGTCCCTTAATTCTTGCCGTTCCTTGCCTGTTGGCATGATTGATGAAGAGCTAAGAGATGTTTTAGAAACTTCGAAAGCACGAGTTGGCCTTAAACTAGAACAAGCTAAATGTTATGCGTCCTTTGATGCAACAACAGTTCCAGAGATCAAGAATGAATGCACAGACAAATCCCTGTCGACACTCGCAACCATTTCCTCAACCGAAGATGCTCCAGCTTCCTTCTTCTTTTACTGTATGGAACTTCTTCAAGCTGGTTTTCCCATTTCTAGAAATTCTGAGTGCGTTGTCAAGGAAAAAAAGAAAACTAAAATGGAAGAATTGAGTAGTTCGCAGAGTCAAGGAAAAAGTATGAATTTACTCGAAAGGGGTCTGCTCATATTACCAAGTAGTGAAAGCTTCATTTTTGCTCTTAAGTGCTCGATTTCTCTTGGTCTTGCTGTGCTCTTCGGTTTGATTTATAACAGAGAGAATGGTTACTGGTCAGGACTGACGATTGCAATCAGTTTTGCAAGAAACCGTCAAGCAACATTTACAGTTGCGAATGCTCGAGCACAAGGGACAGCTATGGGGTCAGTCTACGGAATCTTGTGTTGCTTTATGTTCAAAAAATTTGAGAATTTGAGGTTCTTACTGCTGCTCCCATGGATCATTTTCACAAGTTTCTTAAGGCACAGCCGAATGTATGGTGAAGCTGGTAGTATTTCAGCTGTTATAGGAGCATTATTGATTTTGGGTAGAAAAAATTATGGCACCCCAACTGAGTTTGCAATTACTCGAATCACAGAAGCCACTATCGGATTGATCTGTTTCATCATGGTTGAGATCCTCTGTCAGCCCGCCAGGGCAGCAACTCTCGCGAGAATTCAACTTGCACAGAGCTTGGAGGCGCTTGAAGAAGGCATTAAGGACATAACTCTTTGTGCTGACCAAAAGAAGTCAACTAAGTCAAGAGCACTGGGAGACAAACAGAATAAACTGAAATCACATGCTCTGAAATTAGAGAACTTCATTGCAGAAGCCGAGAAGGAGCCTAACTTCTGGTTCTTGCCTTTTAATGCTACTTGCTACCGGAAGCTCTTGGGATCTTTATCAACGATGGCAGACCTCTTACTCTTCGTCGCTTACAAAATTGAATCGCTCTCTCAAGCATCGGAGAGGCATGGGGTTGCCTGGGAGGAGTTCCATGAACAAATAAACGAAGAACTGGAGCTTTTCAAGGAAAAAGTTGGGTATTCAATGAAATGCTTTGAGAAGGTGATCTCAATCAAGTCCCTCGCAGTACTTGAGAAAGAGCTACAAAAGAGAAACATATCTTACGACGTTGAGTTGGGAAGATTACCAAATGAGGATGTGCATAGGAGTGTGAGTCCTAATGAAGAAGATGTCCTGGAGATTTTAAGCTTCTTTCTTCAACTTTCGAATGAAGTTGCTAACAAAATCAACACTGACGAAGGAGATGAAAAGCTTAAGAGCCAAATAGTTGTTTGTTTGAATGGCCTTGGGTTCTGCATCAGTAGTCTGACGAGGGAAACGACAGAACTGGAGAAAGAACTCAAAGAACTGCTAAAATGGGAGAATCCGACTAGGAATATTAATTTGTATGAAATTTCCTGTAAGCTTAATGCTCTGTACAAAAAGTAATCTTGATACATTGTCTCCCAAGTGACATAGGGGAGATCAATGAGAACCATTATTTAACCTTAAAACAGATGAGGTCTAATTTATAAAAGCCTGAGTTAATTATTACCAGAATATTTTTCTCCACTCCTAGCCTAACTTACATTACCAGACTCTTCTATAGGGTGAATTGTGTTTTGTTCAAACACTCACAAGTCCAATGTCAAAAACTTTTTTCTAAACATTGGCATGTAGCAGTGTCTTCAGACATTCTCTCTCGATGGAATGTGCCAAACTTGTACTAGAATGTCTATGTTTCGGATGATACGTTTCCCAAAAATATTCCAAATTTCTCATCCCAAGTGATGTGGCGTCAATGTATCATACACCATATCAACTCTTCATTTATACATAAATGCTGTATAAGACAATACATCACTTAGGATAAAAAATTTAAGATATCATATGGGAAGTGTAATATTTACTTGTTTGGGATTGTGGAGGTAGCCACCTACCCACATCAACGCACTAAAGCATACAGACACACCCATGTTTCGTCCAGCATAGCTGCTGCCTCAATAGAATTGTCCGTTTAAATACAATATGGCAAATACTAAGGAAATAGCCATGAGAAACAATATACTTAGAACAAAAATAAAGAGGTGAATATATATAATATGCCTACAAAATCCAAGCAATAAGATGCATTAAGCTCCAAGCTTGTTTATAATTACATCAAGTTATCTCTCTGTCAAACCACCCAGTCTTATAAAACTAAGATGTTTTTCATTGCAGCAAATGGAATCAGAATACCAAATTCCTCAGTTGCCTTCATATTTAGGGTCAGCCATCACGTAATGATACGCTATAACCAGTACAAAAATGAAGATGCCAAGAAAGTTGGCTATGAAGCCCAAGACCATGTCATCAATCATCTACAAAACACAAGCACAAATTGGTAATAGATTAGTACCAAGTTTCAAAGTACCAAAAATTAATCTATCTCTCTAAATAGAAATTCCAAGAGTAAATTACAAATAGTATTAAAACTATCAGTTCCAGCAATAACGTCATATTCAAGGTTTAAACAGACTTAAATCTACATTTGGTCACAAAGACGGGATGTTGATCAAAGCGACAATCAAAGTTCATAGTGACAAATACAATATATGAGATAACCTGTGCTGGGAAATAAATGAAACTAACAGATGGGAAGTTAAATTTCTTTCCTCTTTATGTGATCAAAAATAAAATATGTACCAACCAATTCAAACAATTGGCAATGTCAACAAATATTAAAGATAACAAGACAAGCCAAAATCAAACAACTACAAACGGGTCACAAAATTTACATAGAAACCCCAGAACACAAAAATCCATGAAAACTGAAAGTCTGTTATCAAAATCTCCACAATCAAATAATAATAAATTACATCTCTCTAATTTAATGTTAGAGACTCATCAATCAATAATTAAACATCAAGAGAGTAATACTCTAAATTCACAACACAATAGCATTATCAATAAAGTGGTATAGATCAAATGTGACATAAAGTTTTATGTCTCCAACAATAGACTCAGCAAATACCATTTTGAAGAATTTAACTAATAAATCAAGACTATCATAAGTGTAAAGCATGATACCAGGAATTACGATTTCATATTTGAGGCAAAGCAAAGTCAATTTGGCTATGCGATGTCAAGTTAAAATTAAAATTCTAAGCTCCAATTTGTTTTATCTCATTATTGTTTCTTTTAATAGTACTAGTTTAATGGTTGGATACTCATACACTAATTAGAATGACAACCAAATGAAGCTCCATCTTTATGATGAAACCCTCGTCTAAATAACTGAGTAATTTTCATAGTATATGAGAAAATGAGGACTATATCCTTAAAAAACATAACAATGTCCTACAGAAAAACCAAATAGGAAACTACAGCAATGAAATACATGGTTCATTTTAAAAGCAGCTTAAATGAGAAAAAATACAATTAAAAAAAAACCATAGATAACTCATAGAAGAAGTTACATGAATGCCGACCTTCTACCCTTTCCGAGGAGTTGATGACTATTCATAGTCACTACCTTGACACCAAAAAGAGGTTCGGAAAAAAGAAATGGAAGAACAAAAAATCAAAATTCATTGGACGATTGTATCATTAACTATTTCTTTATTTCAGTGAGTCTAACAGGAAGCATATGCTCTAGATCTGAATTCAAAGGTAAACGAAACGAAGTCAATTAACTCTAACACTACTCATATCGAAATCTAAATCAATTGAAATAGCAAATGACTCCGCGTAGAAAGGACACAAGCATTGTGATGAAACAGATTAAACAATTTAACATTATAGAGAATAGCAAGTGAAAGTTAAGGATCTTACTCTGATAGACTATGAGATCGAAGAAGATCACGAACCCTTTTTCTCAAAAAGGAGGCACTGTGTGATTAAACAAAGATTTAGGGTTTTATAGATGAGGAAATATGTTTTTGAAGGAAATTATTTGATGAGCGCAAGCAGACTGCAGATGCTACTAGAAAGTTGTCGTTTGAAAAGTTTATAAAACGACGCCGTTTGAAAAAGTTCAAAATGAAATGAAGCAGGCAGACCGCAGACGCTACTAGAACATGTCGTTTATCGTTAGCAAAGTGGGCAAACGACACTGTTAGTCTGTTAGTGAAAGAAACGTACCGGTAGTTTGAAATAAACAAAAATAATGTGGCTGCTGGGATTCGAGCCCAGGTCTCTACGGCCACAACGTAGAATTCTTACCACTAAACTACAGCCACATCAATGACAAAATTTTCCTTGTATATTACTTGTTATATGAATATACAAATTTCTTGGATTTTCCTTTAACCCCTTAATAAATAGTTGAAAATAAATTAACCTATAATTTTTTAAAAGTATTGTATAACCCCTGAATTATGAGTTATCCCGTCAAAAAATTCTCTCATATGGAGGTATACAGCACTTTTCAAAAATCAAGGGTGCATTCATTTCCCTATCTTTCAAGGGGTTGAAATAATAACCTCAAATTTCTTAGTTTGATGTTTGTCACGAAGCTATGATCTTAGTACAATTATGATTTATCGAACTAATATAATATTTCTTCTACCCTATTAACTTTTTTTTAATCAAATGTGAAAGTTCATAAACTCTATACGCATATAATGATCAAATATAACAATTAAAAATGGAGAAGATAAATGCATGAATATTTTATTTATTGATTTTTTTATATCTTGTAGTTTCTTTTCAAATCAAAGTAATGATTACTCTTTGAATTTCAGAGATAACAGTTTTAAATATATATCACACGAAACAATGTTCAATATACTAACCTAAAGTATGTTCTTCGAAAAAAAAAAAAAAAAATTCTAACTCATAAAATTAATATACTCATTTCTCATAAATTTAGTCATATATAATGTTTGTTCAATAAAGCCCCGTAAATTTGTTAGTGATAAACATGCTCTTTTTAGTACCATTATCATTATTATTTTTTTTTTAATCACGAGGGGTGTTTGGGCTAGTTTGTACGTACCGTAACTAATCTTTCGAGACTTTAGAACTGTCGATCGGGTAAGAATCTTAGTAGCCACTACTATTAGTGTCTAGAAGGACTCGAACTCAAAAGTTTATGGAACCTCATTTTGTTCTTTTATCATCAGACCACCTAGTGGTAGTTCTTACCATTGAAATTAATTCACACTGTCTACTATCTCTATTGACAATATTAACCCCTATTGTCACAACAATAATTTAATTGTTTTTCACATCATTTTTGTCTTCGTTGTTTTTGTTTTTCACATCATTTTTGTCTTTGTTGTTTTTGTTATTTTACAATACAACTACCACGTTTGACAGTGCAAGCAAACTCCCATCTCAGTACTTTGTAATTTCAATATGTTAATTATCTCAAAACTAATATTTCAAGTAGATAAAACAGAAACTCTAAGATAGTGAATACAAAATGAATATTTCACTTAGATGCATAGTTTCAATTATATAATGCTCAATTATAATGGAAGTCATTTAGATAAAATCTTGCATAAATTTATCTTTATGTATTGAAGTATCTTTGAAGTTCTTTTTACAAAACTTTATTTGGACTTCTCAAGTATTCAATAATATTATTTCAATTTCAAGAATATCCTAAACCTGTCTACAGGCTACAGCCACCATTATTACTAAACTTTCAATCAAGGTTTTAAAATCCGACCCAAGGTGAAACCCGACAAAGTGGCTTGATCTTGGGTTGATCAGTTGAACCAGTTTGACAGGCAAGTCAAGCCAGTGAGTCAACATGTCAATAGGTTTGAAATTCAACAAAAACAGCCCTGAAAATTACACATAAGTTCCTAAAGGTTTGAAATCCTGTAAAAACACCCCAAATTACAATGTTGAGTTGTCGACGTCGTCAACCCAAACCAAATAGGGCCTGTTTTTGGCATCAACAACACACCCTATGACCACAAAAACTCTCCCCTCAACCTCCTAACCAAAACCCATCTCACCCACCCTCATTCGCCTTGCCAATCATCGGCAATAGCCCGCTATTGTCATTGATCATTTTTGTGATTTCTAGTCGTTTCTCTCACAAAAAAACACCCCCATTGCCACCTTTCAACTCACTCGCCCTTCCTCTTCAAAACCCCTAACATCTCAACCACCAATTGTTTGCCAATCGGCATCCTAATCTCTAGGGATTACCATGAACAGTAAAATTGGTAACCCGCCTCGATGAAGACCTCGGGTCCCGATTGAATCGGTTCAACTAGCCAGGACAGGCCGGGTTTAAAGACATTGCTTTCGATTCAATCATTTGTCATAGATCTACCTAATACACTGTTAAGTAATGCATCTTTTTCACCTTCTCTTACCATTGAAAAAACTACGGATGAGCGGTTCCGAGTATCCTACGATTTTTGGGGGATCGAAACTGGAACAGTCGGTCCCAGGAAAAGGAACCGGAACTGAGAGGTTTCGGTTCTTTGATTCTTGGACTGGAACTTGTAATGCAGGTTCCGGTTTCTAACCCGGGTACCTTGTAAACAATCAATTACCCCCTATTAGTTTAAAAAATGACAAGCACACCTTAGAATTTTACAAATATACCCCTGACAAATTAAGAAAACCTGCATTTAGTAGTTTTCAACTTTTCATTACTCATTCACTTGTATCCAATGTGACTCACATATCTTCTAATCTCTAGGTAACACTTGAATTCAATCAATTCATTACAATTATAATACATTTTTTTAATAGAGAAATAAATTATAATTACTAATAATTAAGTTATTTCGGAAAAAGTTTCATCACAATTAGTAGGTGGTTTTGATTTTTGTATTTTAATCGATTCACAACCAATGGCGGATCCAGGATTTTTGTTGAGGGGGGGCCTCCGCGACTTCATCATTGTTTGCTAAACAACTAGTAAAAACTTAAAAAAAATCATGAAACCTTAAGCAAAGAAAATAATACAATATCAAGAACTTGAGGAAAAAGAATGCAACAATACAATACTTTCCTATTTGAATAAATTCATGAGAAGCAAAAATTTGAGTAAATGTGTTAAGTAAACCTTGAGCAAAACCTTCTTTCAAATTTTTTTTTTTTTTTCCAAAGATTATAATATAAATTTTCATGACTTTGACCAGACCTAATTTAAGCTAAAGTCAACCAAAATTTAAATCAAATCAACATTGCCTTGACTTTTAATATGAATTAATAAAAAAAAATTTTTGAAATAAACATAAATAGTAACTCAAATTTCTTTATTTATTTTGAGTAGCAGGATAGTGACGTTTGAAATGTAGGAAAGTGGTGGGTAAAGGGTGAAGAATAACGTCTTTTAAAATATAGTTAAGATTTTAATTTGGGGAAACAAGTTAATTCTTAGACACAAAACACAAAATAAACTCACAAGATCCATGTCTTTTCCCCTCAAATTAGAATAAAAAACTTCAAAAAAAANCACATTATCCTTATTTAATTTTAAAATTATATAGTATGCCCTTGTTTAATGTAGTACCTTTTTTAGTAATTTTATAATAAAATGTACTTATAAGTCATATTTTACCAAACACGTCAATTACTTATCAGTCCCTTATAAGTACTTTAACCAAACACGTAATTGCTTAAAATTTCAAATGCTTATAAGTTAATTTTAGCTTATAAGCAATTGTTGCTTATAAGCTAATTTTTATAAGCTTAGACAAACACCTCCTAATTACCTCCATTTTCTTAGGTATTCTTGGATTATCAGGGTAATCTTTTTTTTGTTACAATTGTATCCCTTATTAATAAAATTTTGGGATAATAATGCCCTTATTTTTAATTTTATTTACATGAATATAGTTTTTACTATTTTATCCCAATTAATTAACTTTTGGGACAAAATTACCCTTGAATTCAAAACAAATTACACCCCACCCCACCCAAGCCACCGCCCCTACCCACCTGTCGATGCCTGCGGCCAGATCGTGATAGATCTGGCCGTTGACTGCCAGATCCGTCGATCTAACAGTCAACGGCCAGATTGATAGTCGTTTTTCATTGATGTGGCTGTTGACAACCGATTGACAGATGTGGTCGATGGCAGCTAGATGGAGATCGATGGTCGTTAATGGCCAGATTTTTCACGATTTGACCATTTTCAGCTAGATCTCTAGTCGAAAATGGCCGTACGGCACACGGAGGCCATTTCTTGCCTTCTGTGCACCGTTAGGTTACCGGCTGCCAATAGTGACTGGGTTGGTGGGGGTGCTTTATTGATTTTCCAAACTTTTATTATGGGGTTGTTTTTGCTAAGATTTTAAATGTAGAGGGTTATATAATCCAAATAATAATCAATATTAAAAAATAATATTTAATTAGAGGATAATTCAGTAATTTAAATACCATACCCATCAATTTATTCCTTTCAACCAAATATATTAATATAATATACCTATCAACTAACCAAACACATTTTCCTAAAGATTCCAATAATCTTCAAAGTAATCTAACTTTCTAGTAATCCAACATTCTCTTAACCAAACGCACCCTTAATCACAACCTGACCCTACTTTTTTTTAGGTAATTAACCTGGCCCTACTTTCACTTATCTAGAAGTCTCCATTCCAATACCTTTGTTAGGATTAAAAATTTGTAAAATTATGTAAAATATTACAAATTTTAAAAGAAATAGAGGAAAAAACAGAAAAATATGAAATAATAAAAAATGCAAAATGTCTGAAAAATGGAAAAAAAAAAAAAGATTATGAAAAATGAAAAAAATCTGGATTAATACAAAATATAAGAAATATCTGTTTTAAATAAAATGATTTAAAAATAAAATAAAAACTTAATTTTTAACAAATTAGATAATTAACACAAATCTGAAGAAAACAAACAAATAAATAAATAAAAACTTTGAACTTGGCGAATATTTTTTAGATTCTAGCTTTTTTTTTTTAAAAAAGGTATTCTTGATTTTTTAAAGTTGTAGTTAACAACATTTTCCCAAAAATTTGAAGGGGAAGTCCTGATTGAAAACACAAGATGCTCATTTAGAGGTAAAGGATTCAAATTCAATCATTTTTAGAAAAAAAAGTGTTTGATTAGAATATGAACGAAATTGAAAGACCCCTTAACTATTAAGGAGGTTGATAGAACGAATCGCACTTTATCACTAAACTGCACTTGTTACAATGCAATTATTATATATAAATGGGCCTTTTATCCAACAAAGGAATCAGATGTAGTCAACATAGGAGAGAAATGAAAACTAACCATGAATGAAAATTAGAGATTAGAGCGTTGACGTGTTTATTAGAAGTCCTAGTGAAACTAGGAAAAAAAAAAAGCTCATTAAGTAAATGTCCATGTTTTATTTTCACAATCCCATTTTGTTTAGGTGTGTTAACACAATTCTTTTTATGTATAATGCCTCTAATTTTAAAGAATTCTTCTATATCAAATTCCAAGCCATTATCAAAACGTATGACTTTAATTTTCTTATTGAATTGAGTTTCAACAAAAGAATAAAAAGATTGCAAGAGTAAAGGAGTTTCTCTTTTATATTGCATAAGAAATACCCACGTGCATCTAGTGTAATCATCCATAATGGCGAGGAAACAAAATGTTAACATTTACATTATGGTGCATATAGGGCACCATAATGTAAATGTTAACAAAACACAAAATGTTGAGGAATAATATATCAGAGTGTATAATCTGAATTAGATTCTACCGAATATTATCATATTCTTATTCACATAAAGTATAAAACAATTTTCCCAACAAAAATTTCCATATTAATACACTATAAGAAAAATGGCATTTGGTGTCTATTGAAAATAGATGCTAATAGTCAAATTTAGACGCTGATTGTTTGTCGCGTCTAAAATCCCTAGTCGTTGACTAATTGCAAAATCACTATTGCAGAAAGTATCCACGACAAAAATCATGGTTAGATGCCAAAAAAGTTTCTTTAGCGACCAGCAATTTAGTTACTAATTGCCTCGAAAAATAGTCTCTTAGATTAGATGTCAAATGAATAAGGGTAATTTGATAAAATTGCATAGCAACTATTGATTTAGTCGCGGAATGTAGCTTTTAGTGACTAAAAAATGGATAGTAATTTCCAAAAAAAATAGATGCTGAATGCTTAAGGGTAATTTGGTAAAAGCATTTTGCAACTACTTTTTCAGTTGTAAAATGCCTCTTTTAATTACTAAAACTTTAGTTGTAATTGTCAAAATTTTAGTCGGTGAATGTTAGACCGAAATATGATAATTTCTTTTCCACAACCATTAAATTAGTTGCAAAAAGTGTGTTTTAATGACTAAATTATCAATGGCCAAAGTAGCTAGAAGTGTTTGGCCAATTTGCTTTCTTTGATTTCATAACTAATCATTTGGTTAGGAGAATGATTTTTCTACATATTGCTAGACCTGGCAAAACGAGTCCAAACTCACAGGTCGATCCATACCCGGGTAGAAAATATAGGGTATGGGTCCAATTTATTAGGCTCGTTTTGTTTTTACTCATACTCGCCCCAACCTGTATAACTGAGAGGGTTATATGGGTGAACCCGCGGGCACCTGCAGGTTTAGTTAGTAAATTCGCGTATAAAACACAAATTTTCGTATGTTTTCAATGTGGTCGAATAATTCGTGAATTATATGCTTCAGCGTATAATTGGCGAATTATTTGGCGTATCCGTATTTTTGAAGAAAAATGTTAATAAATGCTACTTCCTGCTTCTTCTGGGTAGTGTAATTGTTTGTCATATCAATCACTTCAATGGTCTTTATGTGTTCAGCTTAGCAGAAGAGTTATTTTCTCCCACCTCTTTTATTTCCATAAAATTAATTAATAAAATGCTCCTTCATGCACCAATCTCATTCATACACTTGGAAATAATATCCAATTTAAATTTTAAAAAGCCAATGATGTTAACATGTTGGCGGGATGATGGGATGGAATCAACATATTATCCTGCATGATCACTATCAATTTGACCATTCATCCATGTGTCCCTACTCCATTCCCCGTTTCATTTTTAGCCATCAGGAAATTAAATAAATTAACAAGAATACAGAGGCTCAAGCCGCTCAACCATAATTTAATCACAATTTTAAGTCCACATAATTTTTTACCATTTTAATTATTTTTTCTTTTCAAAAGAATATTTGAGAAGTTAACACCCACCCCATGATTAGAGGCATTGTCATGATTTAATTCTTTCTAAAAAATTAAACCATGGATTTTTTTTGTTAATATGCTAATAAAAAGATCTCTTTTAATTGCCGTATTTTTTAAAACGTATTATTGACAATGTGTCGTATTAAACTCATATATATCCGTATCGTATTTTTTCCGTATCCAAATTTTATGACCGAATTTTAACAAACGTATTTTTTACCATTTGCTGTATCATACTCGTAAAATTCCCGACCCTTTTTTTTTCGTACCCGTATTTACTAACTAGGCCCGTAGGTACTCGTTTTTGCAAATCCCTAACCCTAAGTGGCTAAGTCCCTAACTCAGACTTTAAAACAAATCTTCATCTTCAACATAACAATTCTCTCTCGCAGTCCCGCCTCTCGATCTCTCATCACTGCATCAATCATCACTCATTCATCATCAGTATACCTCACGGTCCTCACCTGAACCTGATTCATTCATTCTGTAAACTCTCAATCTCTCATCCAATCCGTGATTCCCATTGCCAATACCACCGTCCCCGGTAGCCCTCACTCATCCTCGTCGACTGGTCATCTCCTCTCTCTCACATCATTGGGACTTGGGCATCGGCTCGTCATCTCCTCTCTCTCTCCGTCGCAAGACTCGCGACTCTCTTCCCCACCATTACAGTAGATCTGTGAGTTGGGTTTCAAGATCTGTTTTTATTGCATCCATCTTTGTTCCAGAAAAGCTACAACTTGTTTGACATTTCAAGATTTGTATATTTTGGCTGATTTGTGAAATCTTTGTCTGTATGAAGTATGAACAGTAAATGTTGAGAATTTTTGTGCTTAGAATTAGTGAATTGCAGATTTGCAGGCACTGTTTTTAGAGTAATAGTTGTTCAACTGTCCTTGTAAATATGGTTTTGAAATGAAGCTGTTTGCCTATTTTCACAAGTAGAATTTTGTAAATGTGTTATGCACTTATGCATATGCTACGAAATTGGAGCCATAGTTCAAATTTAGAATTCTATAATGAATTATTTCCAATGTCTTGTACAATTTTTAGAACTATAGGAATTTTAGAGGTGTAACTATTATAAGTGAAAACTATTAAGAGTGAAACTGTAAAAACTGAAACTTGGAGAGAGAAAAAAAGGGTACCCACAAGTCCACCCGTACCTGTATGACCCATATGTTTCAACCCGTATTGGAACCGTACCCATGTGGCCCGTACTCGTGATGACCCGACCCATGCGCAACCCACCCACCCGTTTTGCCAAGTCTACATATTGCACATAGTACATGAGATTTGCAAACTAATTTTGATAGTAATAATTGATTAGTCCAAGATTGTTTATTATTTCTATGACTAAAATTTAGTGGCAAATAAGATTACATTTAAGAGCAATGTTGTTGCTCCTTGTAATTCACTTGGTGAACACATTAAACATCAACAAAATAAGAGACACAATACAAAAATGTGGATCAATAACATCAATTATCTTCATTGCATATAAAGTCAATAGTCCATACATGGATTTTTTAGCAACATGAGCAATAAAAATCTAAAATTGCACTATCATGTGTGCATAACCAAAAACAAAAATGCATAACCAATCAGTTCGGTCACCTTTTGGAGCTTTACCTTGGTGGAAAGCCAGTGTCTTTATCATCCCCACACCTTAACTATTGTAGTGAATAGGTCTATAATTTCCTATGGTCTTCCAATACCCAAAGTCAATAGCACAATTCATTCTAACAAGTCTACAGAAGTTCATTTACGTAGCAACAGAAGTTCATTTCAAATAATTGAAAATAGAAACCTAGAGGAATTTCATTTCTAACAAGTCTACAGAAGTTCAATTACATAGCAACGGTATTTGCAATAAACAAGTAGTTGACCTTGGGCAAACTTTCATGCATTTCATCAAGCAACCATCTGCACATGTAAGTCATAAAAATATCAATTAACACTAGAAGTTCCAGAAAATGTGAAAACCATTTTAATAGATGCATATAGAGTGACCCATCTAGGTATATACAAAAAGTGGAGCATCCCAATATTATAGTTATTTTTCATGCAAATAAATGTTTTATCAATGACTGGAAGATGAAGGGATAATTAACAAGCACATGAACCATACAGAAACATACCTATAGTCAAAAGAAGGAAAAAACTTATGAAGGGTATTCACAATCAGCTCCACAGTGGCATGATTTGCAGCCGCAGTATCAGTCATGTGAGTATACTGAACCTGAATATTGAGGAAATAATTTTGACATAGAAAGTAATAAAGAAACATTCTAGTCCTATATTTGTGCATAATTTGCATGGAAACTTGGACTCTACTTAGCATACTAAATGAACTTTGAGGTAAAAATAACAGTGAACAAAACCTTAACAGCAACTTTTTGCCATCATGCGTACAAGCAACATGAACTTGTGCAAGGGAAGCACTTTCTATAGGGACATGATCAAATTCTTCAAAAACCTGTACATAAAGACTTAAACATCAACAAGCGCATATGTCTCCATTGGGAACAACAATATGACCACTCAACATGAGAATTTGTGCATAAATCTCATAAGCACCAATATCACTTGTAAACAATTCATGAAGTGAAAATTAAATTATTGGCTGTCAAAAAGCAAGCCAGATTCATGAAAAATGTGCATCCTTGGTAGAGAAACCCAAGTTGGACAAATAGTAGGAACAAGTGACAATGTGGACGATGGACCAGAGCACACAATTAGTTTTATATCTGATACATAAACTTGTTGAACATGTAAAATTATGTGTTCATTCTAACATCATACCATAATATATACTTCAACAGTTCATGTACAGTGATACAAAATAGGATTCTAAACTAATAATGTCAATTAGCTTTGATGTAAAGGAGGAGAAAAAAAAAAAAAAAAAAAAAAAAAAAAAAAAAAGGTTATTCTTTACAAGTTACCACTAGTGTAGGAAATTTGCAGGAAAGAACTATCACGTTTGCAAAAATCAGTAGCAACATTCAATAGCTATCTTTATCTTCTCACCATACCCTGTTCGCTAATAGCCTCTTTATAAAATCCAATCCTTCTTTCACGCTGCCAACAGGAATTGGACATAATTAGAAAATGAAACCCCTCAATCAAAGTTTACTAGTATTATGCATGACTTATATGTCGAATTTAAAACTTAAACCACCATAAAACAGGAAAGTAAAAAGGAAGCCAAAGAACAAATATACTTTGCATATGAGTAGAAGGCAATAAGAAGTTTAAGAAACTTACTCCTATTTTAGTGGTGAACCCCAACTTTAGCCAACATCGCATAGTACTCTATCTCAGACTTCTGAAAAGGAGGGCGCTTGTTGGTAATGATAACAGCTTCACTACAACCCAATAAAGAAAAAAAAAAAAAATGTTCATTTAACAAATCCCAAGAAATGAAATATTCCCATAACAAAGACTAGATCCAGTCAGAACCAATAATTTCTAAGTTCTCATGAAAATAGGGTCACAACCTAACAACTAAAACACAATTTCTTTCTAGGTCCCAGCTAAGAGTCATTTTAGTTCATAAAAGAAGCTCAAAAATGCGGAGATAATATAATCATCAATAATGAAATAAAACGAAAAATAAAGTTAATAGGTTAGGTTACCTTTGGAGCTTCTTAGGGTGTGAAGCACAGTTTTGTAACCCAAAGTGTACTTGCCACTCTTCATGACACAAGCAACCTACTACTGATGCTCTCATGGGACTTCTTCTACAAGAGTGAGCCATAATCAACTTATTTCTATTCTTTAATTAAGATTGAAATGGAATAAAGAAGAAAATAAAGAAGAAAGAAGAGAGACAGAGAAGGAGATGAGTTACAATCTTCTTGGCAGCCACCATTGCGTTAAGGCACTAGGGTTCTCACAAAACAGTTTTAAAGAAAAGCGAAGAGCTGTCTCAATGAATTTCCCTATAGTTTCCCTAACTCCAAAATCTTAACATTCAATCATAACCATCAAATTGAACACCAAAATCAACAGGATTTTAATTAAATCGATGAATTTTCTCCCATTACAATCTCTAAATTTAAAAAGAAAGAATGAGAAAGAGGCGAACGAACCAGATTGCGAAGAGATGGAGAAGTAGAGGGAAATTGATCATGAAGAAGAGAATTGATCTTGGAGACTGAATCTTCAAACCTTTGTTTCTCTCCGAGCTTTTTTTGCAATTCTCCCACGTTTCCGAGAATTGATCGGATTGGGGAGTTGGATCCAAAGGATCGAGGAGAGTCGGATCCATCAAAGTCAGAGGATTTCTTGGAAGAGAAGAAGAGTTTGTTCTTGAACACCATTGTTATGGTTAATTAAAGAGTGATTTTAAGCAGCCCTAGCATGTTAGAGATGTCAGGCTGCTGAAGAGAAACATTGAAGAAGATGAAAAGAGAAGAAAGGGAAAATTTTGAAAAATGGGTGGGAAATTTTGCCTTAATGAAAATTGGGGGGAAATTTTTGCCTTAGTGAAACTTTTGATGGGTGGGAAATTTTGTCTTAGCAAAATTTTTTATTTTTTATTTTTCAATTTAATCCTCGATAGTTTTAAATATCAACGATTGAGACTACAATTGACAAGAAAAAAACTCGTATAATTTATTTTTGACCAAATCTTTGACAGTTAATAATTGTCAAAAATCAAATAAAATAATCAAGAATTACAATTCTTGACATTTTTTTAGGACAGTAAGAAAATATGTCAACTCATTCTGTCAAGGAAAGTGTTTTTTTTTTTTTAATAGTGACATATTACAAATAGAACAATTATTTTAAAAAAGAATCATGAAACAAAGAAAACCCTTTAAAGCTTACCTCTAAAAGAATTAAATCACACTCAAATCAAAACCTAAACAAAAAAGAGATCGAAAGAACAAACCCACAAAAGAGTTTAAAAAATTCCCAGAAGATACACAAAAATAAATGTATAGAAAATAAAATAAAAAATCTAAAGAACAAGAAAGTGAATAAAAATGCGAACCTTAGTTGGATAAATCGATGAATATGAATCTGTCTCAAATGAGTATCCATAAAACAGAAAACTTAAATACCCAATTAAGAAAATAAATAGATATTATCAAACACCATTTGTTTATCAGCAACAATAAATTAATTTAAAGCACCCATTACAATTATAAAAGCCATTGCAATGTTAGATGAAAGAGAAGATAAAAGTAAAATCACCCATTACGAAGTTATAGCCACCCATTTAAGAACGTCATAAACAACAAATACTTAAACAAATTAAAGCAAATGTTGTAAAGAAATGAATTGAAAATAAAACAATAGAACCGAAATACCATCTGTAAAAGAATGAGTTTTGACATAAAAATAAAAAGAAGTTACCTTCAATGGGGTAATGTAGGTGGCAAAAGTAGAATCGAGGAGATGGTAAAGTGAAGAGGGAAACTGGATACAGAGGAGTGTGTGGAGATGAAGAGGACTCGAGTAAGAATAGGGAAATTGGGGTATTAGGGATTTGGTTTTAAGTTGGATTTATATAGGATGGGCTTTTAGTAATTGTTTCTAAAAACATAGGCATTTATTTATTTGATTAGTTATTTGTAACAACCAGTTTTAGTCACCATCTGTAACTTTCATGATGTAAACCATCAATTGCAACTAATATTTTAGGAAAAAAAAAAAAATTGCAACTAATGTTGTAGTTGCCACTGTCAAATTTTTGATATCTTAACTTTTTGTAACTAATTGATTTTGGTTACTAATAGTATATATCATTTTTAATAAACAATATTTAGTGGCTAACATTTTGTTTGCAAAAAAAATCATATTAACAACTTTAACTTTAGTTGCCAAAATAACATACCAAAAATTTCAATTTATTTCAAGTGGGAACATGGGGCGTCCAAACTCGCAAAATTTACTATTCATTTGGCAACTAAAATCTTAGTTGTTAAAAGAAGATAATTTGCAGCTAACTAATTAATTACGCAATAGTAATTTTAGTCACAAATTAAAACATTATTTTTTAATTTTACCGGGAAAGTGTGGCCCAAAAAAATTCACCAACTTTTAGCGACTAAATACATTTTAGTTGCTATACATGAGTTTTTGCAACTATTGTAATATGCACAAAATAATTAGTTGCCAAATGTACCTTAGGCCTTTCGTAATTATTGTTAGAAGCTTGGATATTTCGGTAATTGTATTATTTTGTAACTAATAAAAATAGTTACAAATTAATTAATAAATATTTGCATCTATATTCAGTAGTTACAAATAATTATTTTCCGTAACCATAATTTTAGTTGCTAAATCTCTTGTTGTAGTTTTCAATTGTGTTGTAATGCTTGGAAAATTTACCACGTAAGAATGGACAACCAAATAAATTAGTTGCTAATGTGATATTTTTTGTAACAAATCAAATTAGTAGCAGAATATTAATTTTAGATGCTAAAGACGGGAATAAATGGGCCCTAGAATTTTATTTCCCTTTAGCTGACCGATTGGAATTTAGTTACTAAATATGGGGCATTTGCAACTATTTTTGCCTAGTTGCAAAAAAATTGGTTACAAAAAGTACTTTTTCTTATAGTGATACTGTTATGCCTGAAAAGGTAGAGCTGACATAGAGCCTCATCAGTAAAGTATGGTCAGAGCTCAGTAGGATTCTATGCCGTCCAAGCATGGCCACGTCGCACCCAACGCAAGTGGCATGGATCATGTCAATGCAGTAGGTGGGCGCCAGACTAGCAAGCGGTCGGAGATTGCCCACGTGTTAAAACCCTGCTTTCATCGAGGAAATCCCTCGGGCAGGTGAACAATGGGACACAGAGAAAGATTTGCACGGCATCTACCCACTTGTAGCATTTGCAATCATTACCTTGAACTCTCCCACTATAAATAGAGGACTTCCCTCTCATTCGGGGGGATTAGCTAATTTTACACTTAAATAGCTCTCTTTGTCTGTCGGTCTATATGTCTGTCTGTCTATCTCTGTCTCTCTGTCTGTCTGTCTGTTTGTCTGTCTGTCTCTCTCTCTCTCTCTCTCTCTCTCTCTCTCTCTCTCTCTCTCTCTCTCTCTCTCTTGTATTCTCACTCAAATTGTAACTCAGCTCGTTGAATGCGACTTGATCCCTCTTTTATTAATACAATAGCAGTGGATGTAGGATTCGCTTTTGAGCATCTGAACCACTTTAAATACTGTTCTTCGCTATGTGTTTAATTCAACTCCCTTATATCACGTGTGACTTCTAAGTCCTTTTAGCATGTTACAAGTGCAAGTAGTTAGTGTTAAAATCCAACATCAACAGTTTGGCGCTAGAAGGAGGGTCTGATTTAGTACCTACTATTCATCAGAGAAATCTTTGACTAATCGGTCCCATAACAGCAAATGGCTCGTGACTTCGCATCTGAGCAAACTAGCCAGGGTAATGAAGCAATCCCCTAGGTACAGAAGGACACTTCTCCCAAAGTGCCACCAGTCCAGTAGAATATCCTAAGGAATATTCCTTCAAGCTCATAGCCCGACACAGCCGTTATGAGCTACCTGGAGAGGTTAAATAATACTCTTCAAACGGTCAACCGAAGGCTAGACTGATTGGATCGGGTCATGCCACCCGAATCTAATGAGACGCAACGATTGAATTTCCTCATTAAATTTGGGTGGCATGACCCGATCTAATCGGTCTAACCTTCGGCTAACCGTTTGAAGAGTATTATTAAACCTCTACAAGTAGCTCATGACGGCTGCGTCGGGCTGTGAGCTTGAAGGAATATCCCCTAGGATATTCTGCGGGACTGGTGGCACTTCGGGAGAAGTGTCCTTCTGTACCTAGGGGATTACTTTATTACCCTGGTTGGTTCGCTTAGATTCGAAGCCACGAGCCATTTGTTGTTATGGGACCGATTAGTCAGAGATTTCTCTGATGAAGAGTAGGTACTAAATTAGGTCCTCCTTCTAAGGCCAAACTGTTGATGCTGGATTTTGACATCAACTACTCGCACGTGTAAAATGCTAAAAGGACTTAGAAGTCACACATGATATAAGGGAGTTGAATTAAACACAGTATGAAGAACAGTATTTAAAGTGGTTCGGATGCTCAAAAGTGAATCTTAAATCCACTGCTATTGTATTAATAAAAGAAGGATCAGGTCACATTCAGCGAGCTAAGTTACAATTTGAGTGAGAATACAAGAGAAAGAGAAAGAGAGAGCTATTTAAGTGTAAAATTAGCTAATCCCCCTTAATGAGAGGGAAGTCCTCTATTTATAGTGTAAGAGTTCAAGTTAATGATTGCAAAGGCTGCAAGTGGGTAGGTGCCGTGCAAATCCTTCTCTATGTCCCATTGTTCACTTGCCCGAGGGATTTCCTTGACTAAAGCAGGGTTTTGACATGTGGGCGATCTCCGGCCGCTTGTTGGTCTAGCGCCCACCTACTGCACTGACAAGAGCCATGCCACTTGCGCTGGGTGCAACGTGGCCACGCCTAGATGGCATAGAACCCTAGTGAGCTCTGACCATACTTTACTGATGGGGCTCTACGTCAGCCCTACCTTTTCAAGCATAACAATTACCTTGAACTCTCCTACTATAAATAGAGGACTTCCCTCTCATTTGGGGGGATTAGCTAATTTTACACTTAAATAGCTCTCTCCCTCTCTCTCTCTCTCTCTCTCAAATTATAACTAGCTAGTTGAATGCGACCTGATCCCTCTTTTATTAATACAATAGCAGTGAATGTAAGATTCGCTTTTGAGCATCCGAACCACTTTAAATACTGTTCTGCACTCTGTGTTTAATTCAACTCCCTTATATCACATGTGACTTCTAAGTCCTTTTAGCATTTTACATGTGCGAGTAGTTGGTGTCAAAATCTAGCATCAACAAATACAAATTCTTACATGCATGCGTTTTCATTTTTCTAAGATGCTTGTAAGATAAAATTATGTGGCCCATTAAGATGTAAATAATATTATGGTTTAAAAAATAATTGCCCATTTACAATTTCTAATTAATGGGTTATACACATTGATGGAATGTGTGCCACACAATTTACTATAGCATGTGATGTACTATAGCACAACTGGTTTCTCAATAGTCGTCATATGAATAGTGGGCTGTCGATACTGTAGCATGTTGATGGAACTTCTATTTAAGGGAGGTTTATGCTCAAGAAAATTGGTCCTCTCTTTACCTGTTAAAGAATACCTGAATGTATTTCTCCGTTATTCAAAAATTACAGGTTTTGAGAATTAAAGAAAGGAAAGGAGAGAGAAATCAGTATTTTTCATCATAGAAATCATCATAACCAGTATCAATGGCTCAAAGTATATCTGCTGATTATATTTATTATTGTTTTATAACATGTGAAATTCATGAAATTCAAAGATCATGTGAGTTTAGAATTCATGAATTTTCTTGTTAAAGCATGTAATGAGAATTTGTGTTATTCGAGTTTAATTGCCAATATAATAAATATGTTTTTCACATGACTAATGATGTTTGATGTTTGACGATATCAATTGATGATTAATGATGTTTGATGAAACCGCCTTTGTGGTTGGATCTTGTTGAATACCGCCTTTACGACTAGATTTGTTTGTAATTTGTCTTTGTAATTGAAATATATCATTGTGTATTCACCAAAGCTACATATGGTACTATATCATAGCCAAAAACTTTTATGACCTGTTGGAGGTAGAAGAATAATGAAGAAGAAGAAGAACTAGGGTTAATTCGATTTTTCAAAAAATATTAAGAAGGTCCCTTACTGTTAAGGAAACATCATTAAGGGCTTAAATTGTTAGGAAATGATAAGGTCCCTAAATTATTGGATAATATTTGACCCCTAAAGTTTATGTTAATTGTGTTGTGGCCCCTAAAATTTGTTGTAATTTTTGGGTCCCTAAAGTTTATTGTACTTACTAGTGACCCTAAATTCATATAACAATTACTTTTAGAATTTATTTTTATGTATATTTGTTAATTACCAAAGTTGTCAAATCATTAAGATAAATAAATTTTAAATTACATAACATTATTTCAATTGCCTGTACAGTTTGATGCTATGAAAGACATTATAATTGTTTATTTGTGGGTAAATTGAATTCATTGGTACAAGACATTTTAGGATCACCCAATGGTTGATTAATTGTTCTTATAACTAATGAAAATAATCATTGGTAATTGAGATGTGCTATTAGTTTCATTTACATATCCAAAGATAGTTTATGTTTCCATTTAGTGCATTTATAATGACTAAATTACGTGTAATTTAATTAGCATCATTACATCTATTATGTGTCGTTGTATCACTCAAAGGAGATCACTAATATATATCTATTATTTAGTTGAATTATGTGTTTGAATCTTATTTATGTGTTTAATTTTATAACTCAAAGCATTAATATATGCAGTGCATATTCATGTTTCTCTTCATTTGCAAGCCTCATTTGTACCTATGTTTAATGGACTTAATTTCTCTTATTGGTGTGAGCAAATACAATTCCGCTTAGGCGTTCTAGATCATGTTTTGTCACCTCAATCAGAGAAACCATATGCTATTACTAATGCTAATAGCGAAAAACAAATGATCTACAATTATGCTTGGGTAAGATCAAACATATTGAGCTTAATGTTTATGCCAATGAGTTTAGTAAACAGCATCAAGTCCACTCTTCCCAAGACTGATAGTGCTAAAGAGTTTATGAAATTTGTAGAAGAGCGTTCCCAAACAGTTGATAAGTCTCTTGCCAGGACATTAATGGCCACTTTAACCACCATGAAGTTTGATGGTTCTCATGGCATGTATGATCATGTTATTGAAATGTCAAACATTGCAACAAGAATTAAGTCCTTGGGGATGAATGTGGATGAGAACTTCCTTGTTCTGTTTATCATAAATTCACTGCGTCTTAAATATGGTCCATTCCAAATGAACTACAATATCATGAAAGATAATGGAATGTTGCAGAACCCTAATATATGACAAATATTCCGAGAGAGGGGGGGGGGGGGGGGGGTTGAATAGGAATTAAAAAAATTTAATGCGGAGTATCAATACTCAACAACCCAAAAGCAATGAACTATTGATAACAATAAATATAAGCAACAAATGTGTAGGAAATATTAAATGAGTTGAGAGAAGAGAAATGGTTAGAGATTATAGTGGTTCGGAACTTTGATCAAGAGATAGTCTGACAAGATTTTGTCTAGCAAGATGTATAAAAATATTTTTGTGAATGATTCCCTCTAAGCTAGGCTGATACACAATATGAGTTTTAATTTTTCTCTAATACAAGTTTGAGGACAAATGATGTTCAAGATTGAACTCTAGGGTTTGTAACAATGATAGAATAAATGTTGCACTCTTCTCCTCTTTTTTCTTTGAAAAATCTCACTCATTTATATCTTGAACAATCCCTGAAATAAATTAGCGCCCTTTCTTCATTTAAGGCATTATTGTAGTTTTCTGAAAAATCCCAAAAGTGGAACGTCCATTCTTGACACCAGCGGTCATTTTTCTTTGAATTTTAGGGTTGGAAAGGTCGTTACCCTACTTGAGATGATCATTATCCTATTGTGAACGGGCGTCCCCAATCGAGAACGGTCGTTCCTTCTTGAATCCTTTGAAGCCCAAAAAATTCTAGAATTGTGAACAACTTCATGAAATGGCATCATTCCACTTGGAATGACTTGATGAATTCTTGGAATGGGAATTAATTGAGGTCGTTTGGGTATGACTCTTTGAATTTTCAAATCCTTGACTTGAGCTCGATTCTTTTAAGTCCAAAGTCTTGACTTCATATGGAACGGGCATTCCCCTCATGGAATAGGCATTCCTCTCTGATTTGTGGAATTTTTTCAAGATTTTAGAACATCGAACGGTGTGATGAAATTACGTTGTTCATGATGCAACGATCTTGAAGAATGGCCGTTCATTCTGGTTGTTCCTTCTCCAGACTTATGTTTCAACATTTTCTTCTAAGTCTTTAGATGTGCTTGGAACGACTTGAGGAAACAATCATTTGGTCTAGAACAACTTGACTAGAAGTTATCTTCATTTTGGATATAATGTTGAATAGCTTGACTAAACGATGTCATTCCACTTGGAATGACTTTACTAGGAGTTATTTTTCAAAACGTAATTGATTGGAATGAGTGTTCCAGTTCCACCAGGAAAACTGCATTTTCATTTTGGTTATGACTTATGTCATACCTTTGTACATTTGTTAGTCCTTAAACAATCTTATGAATAGTTTTGGCACATTAAAACACATGAGGGCTTAACGATCTCCCCCTTTTTGATTGATGACAAAACTAAGCAAAATTGACTTTAGTAAAAAAATCAAGAAAATGCAAAAACTCTCCCCTTTTCTATAAGCATAGCCTTTCAACAAGTTTAAAGCAAAAATAACTTCATTTTTTTTAGCAAAAGCTCCCCCTCACATCAAGCTTCCCATACACATAAACACAATAATCTCAAAATACTCAACACATGTAAATATTCATTCAACAATAATTCATCAACACAAACACTCCAAATGAATATCTCTCTCGTCAACACAGCAACTTCTCAATATCAACACAACACAACTCAATACTTGTCCCCCTGTTTGTCATCAAACAAAAACAAGTTTAAGGTATCAAGTTGCATCAACATCCACATAATCAATATCCACAAAGTATGATGAAAAGAAATTTAAAGAAGATAATATCATTCATTCATAATCATGAGAATTGTAAATGTAAACAACAATAAAATCAAGTGTACTAAAGTACACCAAAAGTATCCTTGTGTGCAAATATAACAAAATAAGAGTCGAAGATAAAATATGGAATAAATCCTATGACTCTAAAGTTGAGGTGGCTGAGGTGGCTAATGTGTCATGGAATCTTGGAGGTGATTAAGCTCAATAGTAACCTTAGACATTTGGTCGCTCAGCATGAAGAACTTTGTATTTACTTCTGTTCTTAGCTAATCGAACTCCTCAGCAAAAAGAGATTGCATTCTCTCATAAACCTCATCGGCTTGTCTTGGAGGCATAGAACTTGATTCGGCCTCAATCCTTGTCCTTTTTCTTCTTTCATCCGATGGTGTTGCTTCACTTGATGACTCAGTCTAATAATCTTGCCTTTCCTCACCTTGTCTTGGCCTGCCCTCTGGAGGAACCATCTCCCATTCATCATTTCTTTTTAATCTCACCATTTGCATCTTTTGTAGCACATTTCCATTGAGAAGATTTGAATCATTAAACGTTTCTTTTTGTGGTGCATCTATCTCGATAATCTCTAGGTTAAGCTCGTTGCAAAAGAATGTGATCAACATCCCTATTGGTATCTCGTCGGAACCTTTCTTGATTTCCTCATCTTTTTATCAAGAGGGGTTGTGTTCACTTTCTTCTCCATTTATACAGCTTCCATAGTAAATCCTGTGGTCACCTGCCTTTTGTTTTCTTTCTGGCGTTGAAAAGCATATAAATCTGTGAAATATCCTAGGGCAAGATCTATAAGCTTGGTTGACTTCGACCTATGTGCATCATATGACACTATATCGGATACCATGCACCATGCATTGCCCCAACTCCAATTTCTAGAGGGCCATACAACCTTTTATAGCTACACTCTAACCATCTAGCCAATGCTGCAAAAGATTCACCATGCTCCATTTTTTTCATCTAACTTTATGGTCTAAGGAGGATATTCTTCAGTCCCAATCTCTACTACCTCCAAACTACTAATATATTCATATACTAATGCTATTTCCATCTAAATGTATTCCTACCAACTTCCTCCAGTTTAAATTTCTGTCCAACCAAAATTCTATTTTCTAAACAAACTTCTCAAATAGCCAATCAAATGTTCTTCCAAGGAATATACCTTTTCCTCCATCTTTCTAAATCTCTCTTGTATTCAGGATCTCTAAAAACTACACCATTTGGACCATTGAGGTCCCTAAGGAGGTAGGGTTCCATTTGTAGCCCTTTTGTCCTAGGCATGATTGTTGAATGTTTAGGAAAGATTTGGAATGATTTGGTAGGAATTTGGTGAAAAAGTTGACAGAGCAAGGAGGTTATGCGTGTTCATTCGTAAAAATGAAACGTTTTATTTATAGCTTCATTGGAATGACCATTTGCGATGTCAAAACGGGCGCTTCTAGGGTTTTAACCTTGTTTTAAGGCGTTTAACATGAACGAGCATTCCTAGGATTGAACAACCTTTAGATTAGATGACTGAGGAAAGACCGTTCCATCAAAACTCTTAGGAGAAATTTCAATATTTTTGACCTTTTTTGCACATGACTACAACATTATCTGATAAATATCCTAGACATTTTAATCACTTGGAGAGTGTTTATGTGTGAAAGAATATCAAATTGACAACAACCACAAGGTTCCATCAACTCGATTTCTTCAATCAATTCAAACAAAGTTCATCAACTAGACATGCGTTGGACCCTTGTGTGTTTGATGCCAAATCAGCAAATAATTTATAAGGACTAACAAAATTCTAAGGCATGACATAATTCATACCAAAATGAAAATGCAGGTTTTAATCTTGATTATCCTCTGGAACATGACAGGCTATTCGCAAGTGTCGAAATCGACAAGTAATAAAGCTCGAGTAACGAGTGTCGAATCCCAAGAGAACTACTTACCAAGTACCAAACTAATCTATTTTATTACTATTGATAAACAACATTTTAAGAAGGATTTAATGAAAATAAAACAAACTAAACTAAAACAGAGCAGAATTGTATTATACTTTGGTAAAAAATCAATATGATAAACCTAGGCACATATTTTACACTAATTTATCCTATGCATTAACAATTATTGCTAACCTAATTAAATTATTCTAAGGTCAACTCCCTAAAATTTCACTAACTTTCTCTAGACACATTACGAATTAACCCTTAAGCAACAACCCAAAATATCTCTAAGTTGGATTTAGAATTTAAAGATCATTAAATTTATGGAATTTACAGAGCCTCACAGATCGCGGTAACCTATCTCTAGCATTCCTCAATTTATGTTTTATTACCTTAGATTAATCAGGTTTCATCTCTCATCTCAACCCAACCATAATCATTCAACTCTCGGATTATAAGAATTGAAAGCATTACACACAATAATAAAACTTAGAATTAATGCTCAATTAAATTAACAACAATAAAATCAACACATATTCATAAATTAGGCTACATATTTAGCCCTAGAAAAAGAAATTTAGTTCATAATTGCAATACTAAAAACACCTTGTATTCTAACATAATTTCAAGAAAAAAATAGAAAAAATTCTTAATTGTGAAAAAAACTACAGAATTCGATCTCCAAATAGTGCGCTCTCTCTCTTCTCTAATCTCTCTAAAAACTAATTAAAGAGCCTTATTTATAGTGCTAGGGTTTTGGAGGTTAATTAGGAAAGAATTAAATGCTTAAACAAGTCAATATTCGGACTAGAAATAAAATAATCCAAACAGCCGCTCCTCGCTGCAGCGACATAAATGGTTATTGCAGCATCGTTCTTTCTCCCACTGACTCTTAATCTTCAAAATTGGAAAAGTCATCAACACAAACTTTTAGCACTCTTAATAAGCTTTCCAATGCCAAAAGAACATCAAAGTCTAATTTCTACAGCTCAAGTACGTCAAAAAATCAAAGCATCTCATCTTGAAGAATTTCTAGGTTTTAAGCTCATCTTCAACGCATCATAACTTCCTCATTTCAATTTGATTCTTGCACCATTTGATCTACTCGTCACAAATTCCATCAACACCATTCTTCTTCTTCTCAAATATTTTTTTAACCTAAAAATACTCAAATACACCCAGTGACCCCATAAAATTTATGAATATAATATTAACCAAATTTCGTAGTTTAACACATTCACAATAATCCATTGAATCACTAACAAAATATGTATTTTCAAGCTTTTATCAGAACACTCTTCAATATTTTGAAGATATCTTGGCTAGAGAGATCCAAA